ATACATACATACACACACACACACGTTTATGCATCGCAGGTCCTCGCATGTGGAAGCCCGGAAGTTCGTCCCCCTGACGCCATGCACCCTTCCTCAAAGGATCTTGTTGTAGCCTCCACATCCGTTCAAGCATCCTTCCAGCAGATACGCTTGGAAAGCCTCGGGTGCAAGCACGGCACCCGACCCTCGCAATTCTTTAGCTTGAAAGATGAACTCCGACGGAACCTGAAACCCGAGACCCTAGAAACCAAGTCGACCGCCGTGACAACACTCAAAGGTTTTGTTGCCAAGATGGCGTGTTCCTTTCCGACCAACCAAGCCATCGTCGTGGGTGGCGGATTGGGAGGCGGCGTTGGGCGTTTTGTGCTTCGTGACTTTTGGGCTTTGGGGTTTGGGTTCGCATTTCAGGGGTTGGGGTTCAGGAGCAGTACGCTGTCTCCAGCGGTAGCTTTCCCAACGACATCTTAACCTTTGGTCGGTTCCCAAGCAAGAACCTAGTGTTTCCGATATCTGGACTGGACTCTTTCTTTGTGTTCGCGGGGGTATATGAGCTTCAGGGACTTTATTCAAGCCGGTTGAGTTGTTCTTTTGCTTGGTTGTTGCCGGAGAAAGTTTTTTAAATGAGGCTTTGTAGTGTTTCCGAATCAGAAACTGAACCATGGGAAGCTGGAACATGAACGGCTGTACACTGGTCTACTACACTCTATAACTGCCTAAATGGCACCACTGCTACCCCCCTTATGCCCGCATAAAGCCCCTATCAAAGCTCAGTGGCAGGAATGTCCGCTGCCAACACCGTTGTTGAGCACGGAGGCCGTGTCGTCCTCCTGGCAGGGGCCCTGTCCGGCTTTGTTGGGCTTGAAGAAGGGGGGGTTCTGGCCTGAAGACTACTCCTCAGTGTAAACCTAAACTTGGCACCTAGTGCGGGTTCGGGCTCCCAAATCCAATGCAATAGACACTGTCAAGCCGAACCCGATACCGACACTATGACCTAAACATGGGGTAAAGGCCCAAAAGCCCTAAGCCAAGCCTTCACGGCACTAATTATAAGAACCCCCACAGTCCCCGTCAGCCCTGAAGCCATAGATAGACTTAACCACACCTAAACACCAAAAGCTGTAAGCCCCTCAAGCCCTAATCGCCCGGTCTCCGAAAACCCCCATAGCCCCCTAACCCTGTAGACCCGTGGTGCGAAAGCCCAGACAACATCGAATGGTGGAGTGGGAATGTTTTGGATGTATGGAACCCTCATCCACCTCGTGTGACGAAAGGTTCGGTGTTAACCTTGTGCTTCTTTCAAAGCAAGAGGTTCGAGCTGTAGTCCGTACTCGCACCCCTAGTCCCGAAACTAAAAGCCCAAGAGTTTCATCCTACCGGTACCACCTAATATAACCCGAAGCAGAAGCACAACTCGAAACCTGGTGCTGAGGACAAATCGTCATTTTGCGGTGGCAACAGCACCAAGGCAACCTCCGGCATCAACGGTGCAGGCCTGCCTGGGGGGGGGGGGGCTTCTTGTCTCTTGTCTTGCTTCTGTAGTAGTACTCATACGGAGAGTTCTTCACTCTGAAAGATCTGAGAGGTTTGGGCTTTGGCGTTCTGCGAGCCAGGCTTGTCAATTTGTTTGTTTTTTTTTTTTTTT